TTGATCATTGAGCATGGATACTATTGATTATTGACATTGTTATGGATAGAATGGATATAGATATTGTATTGATAGCATATGGATATGGTAGATTTATTGATATTGTTTATAGATTTATTGATACTATTGATTCTGCATTTATCGTATTGCTTTTCCGATTGATTTTATAGCATAGATTTGATTTGATTTGATTGATTGATTCGACACGACTGATTTGACGGATTGAATGATTTTCTTCTGTGTACGGATTTATTCGAGATTGACGTGTATTGATTGAGCTTGATTTATCGATTTGCCTGCTGCTGCATTGACTGGTTTCATTGATTATGGATTTCCGTATTGCATAGACTCATTGACCATTGACTGATATGGATTTGATTGATTGACATGCATATTGATAGCATCGCCGTGCTTTGATTTCAGTTATAGGTATTAGGTGACTTGCTGGGCTTTGTAAAGCTCATTATATGTGGTTGACATTTTCAGGTCAGGGCAAGGGAGCAGAAGATAGGAATTGATCCGGATCTACATGTTTTAGTTCTTTTGATGATTTTGATTCTTTTGTACTCAGGACAGGATAGATTTCTGTAGTTGTGATTGTAGTGTAGTTCATGAGTATTGTACATGAACTTTTGAGATATGGATCGACTTGTATATTGATGTTTTAAATATTATAGATGTTTGATAGACTATTTAATTGATGTTATAGATAGCTCTGGTAAATTATTTGAGAAACTAATTGAAATTCTTTCCAAGTTAGATCTTGGGGCGTGACACCTTTCCCGAAGCAAGTTAATTCGCAACCCTGCACACCACTTCCCTTGCTAACTCAATCCATAATAATTGCATAGAAATCTTGTGCTCGCCAACACCATTGAGTTTTGATTTAAGACTACTAAGAGTTAAGATATTATATTCCTCCTCCTGTTTTTTGTGATGCCCCATAATTTAAATTGAAATAATTGTATATTTTATATATTCTTAATTATGATCAGACCTATTAATTATCTATTAATTTAATATATGTGCATTTAAACAATCAACATTATATATATTTTTTATTATTTAAATGTCATTATAATATATTCATAAGAAATATATATATTGGTTGTATCCTGGAATATTTGCAGAGATACAGAGATAAAGAACTTAACATCTTAGCTTTTAATGAAGGTCCCACACACATACAAATAAATAGTGTTGCAAAAAACATAAGAGATCATAATTTTTACATGAACACCTAAAAATGGAGAAAAATCATGAGGCATTACGTAGATTGAATGAATCCACAAGTGTTTGTTGTTACTTACAAATGGTGCCCTCTATCAAGGAAAAGCATTAACTAAATGTAGCAAAAAAAGCATCATATAGAGCACTGTAGCTGGTTGGGACTAGAAAAATCCAATGTCATGAGAGCTATTATCGAGAGAGTGTTAGCATGTTTGTTTGATTTATAAGATTATAATTGGGATGATCTAAGTTGGTGGGATTGTAGTCAGCGGGTAACAGAGGTCGGTGGGACCATAGTCTACAAGTGATGGAGATTAGAGGGGTCATAGTTGGAGGGCGGTGGACGTCAGAGGGACCGTACTACTATGTGGGTGATGAACGTCGGAGGGACCATAATTAGCCGGCCACGTTGGTTGGAGGGACCGTAGTCGGCAGGCTACTGAGGTCGGAGGGACCATACTCAATGGGCAATAGAGGTTTGAGGGATCATAATCAGCATGAGATGGTGGTTGGAGGGGCCATAATTGGGAAATAATGATTGGAGGGACTGTAGTCCGCAGGCGAGGTGATCAAATGGATTGTAATTGAGCTATGATGGTTGGTAGGACTGTAGTCAAGCGATGGTGGTCAAAGTTAGACTTAGCAGTGGCAGCCGAACGAATGTCTGACAACAATGAATGGGCAAAGGTTCAATAGCAATGGTGGCGTCAAGTGTTTGCCAGTTCTGGTGTCGTGGTGGAGCTTCCCGATTCTTCAAGCGTTATAGCTGTCTTGATCTCTAACCAAGGTCCAAACATCCAAAGGTCAAGCTTCCTAATGGTCAAAGCCTTATAAATTTTGAGGGTGGCATATCCTATAAATATAGAGAAGATTTATGATAAATTTGGAGTGCTCCATCGAATGACCCATGCTGATTTCGTCGATCATAGAGTATTTGCCAAGCATTTAAGTGCCTTAATGATGTTAAATTAAGTGATCTCAGATTTGTTGGATTTGTCTTATCGAGTCGCTTGATTTAACTATATGCATGCTATATCTGGATATCAATTGGTCATATGTTTAATGCTTAAACCCTCTAAATATAATTTAGCCCATTGTTATGGAACAATTTTTGCTCATATTGGATTAATTTTAGTGTTGTTGGGTTCGTCAGGCTGATATGTTTAATTTGGCTATAAATTTACTGAAATTGATGTTCAGATGGTCCTTAATTTAATTATGAAAGTTGTTAATTAATATATGTCTCAAGATTCATGCTTTATCAAGGCAATTTTTGGTGTCTATCAATATTATTCATATAAGTTAATATTAAAATTTTTTTAATTTTGTTGCCTTGTAAAATTACCATAAATCATATGGTTGCCTTGTGCTCCTATCCAAATTCTCGGAACACTCGATAAGATGATGACTTAGGGGTAATTAGGTCTTGACGAGAGCTCACCACGAGAAGGCATTGTGTGAAGGAAAAGAATATAGTTCATGATTGGATTGGTCATGGAGAATGAGTTGAATCCCTAAGGGGCTATTTGACAACAAGTAGAATTTTAATTTAGTATGGTTTAGTAAATATTGTAAATTTGTATTTATTAAATCCTACGGAACTTAAATCTTGAAAATTGTTTAGCAAGATGAGAGTTAAATCGTGTTAAATCATGTTAAACTGCAGATAATGCAATTCACGATTTAAGACGATTAATTCATTAAAAAAATCAAATTTAATTTTTTTTATATTTTAATTTACATTATAAGTACAAGTTAATTACAATTAAAAAAATAATTTAATTATGAAAGGACTTTTAATTTTAATTATTTATGAGTTATTGTTAATTATTAATTTTAATTATCATTTCTAATTAATCATTGTTAGTAAATAAGTAAGATAATTAGATTATAACTTAATTGTCAATTAATTTAAATTAATAATTAATTATCTTATATTATTAATTAATTTTAATTAAACTAACCAAACTAAATTAATTTGCTCTATGTTAATAATGTTATACGTTTTGGCTAGGGTTTGCTTTTCCTCCTTGCCCGCTGTCGTTGGCTTCGTCTGCTTCCCGTGAGAGGTGGAGTTTTGAACGAGTCGCTAAATAACTTCTTCGCCTCCTTGGACGACATTCCTTCCCGTCGGATCCGAAGTCACACCTCGCCGTTCATTTGTTGGATTGGAAGTAACGACGACGACGTGAGCTTGCCTTTCTTACTTTCGCGCGCTTCTTCGGCCAAATCCCGTAAATCCGCCGAACTCCAGGATTCAGTAAATCCGGGATTTACGGCAAAAAGAGGGAAACAGAGGATTTAACTCGCTGTGAGATTCAACAGTTCCCTAAATCTTGTATCCAAACAGCCCCGAAGAGTAGTGAGCGAATTGGTGATGGAGAATGAGTTGAAGCCTCTAAATCCCAGTTAAAGCTTGCAACTAAAAAATCCCCAAAGGTTCCGCCTGCAATATGTTATTTTTGTTAGTATTGCGTTTTTGGTTACTTACATAACCTGAAATGGGGCTTAACAGAGGTTTTGTGACGAGGATCGTTGATGTTTATTTCAGCTAATCACAATAATGGAGAAGACGCCGTCGCTTCTCTTTGCCGGCACTCATTTTGATCGAAAACGGTTTGCTAAAGACATCGCTAGATTCAAGGCATTGCCTTTTCACTCTCCTCCTCTGTATCTCTATCTACTCTGCTTCCCCTTTCTACGATTTTGTTTTGCTTAGCAGGAGTTTGGTTTATAGACCGGCTATCGAAGTTAATCCAGTGTACTTCTATTTCGTCAGGCAAAGGAGGAGCAAGAGGATCGTTATGAGCCTGAATACAAGGAATCCCAGTTGACTGAGATGGTTGGAAGCAAGAAAGAGAAGAAGAGGAAGCGGAATGACTCAGGTAGCGCTTGCTTTTAATTCTGTCCAAACTAAAGCTTTTGCCTTTGTAATTTTTAGTACTTTCTCCTTGTCTATTTACTTATTTTTTAGTTTGAATTTGGCAACATCAGAAGTTGTGGAGGGGTTTAATGTTTTTAAGAGCTCCAAGTCTCTCAAAACCCGAGATATAACAACAACTATGATTGATGATTCTGCGCTTCATAGAAAGGAAATTGAGAAGCAGATCGAGGTATGATTTTCCTTGTTTTTGCGCCTCTTGATGTATTTTTGGTCGAAAAAATACTTTTTTTTAAACTAACGTTTCTGTTTATTTCAGAGAGATTCACTTTTCCGTAAGAAACATGGGATTCACATTTTTGGGTATGCTGTTCCATCTCCACTCCGGAACTTTGATGAATTGAAATCAAGGTATCGTTCATATAGTTGCTATCATTACCCCTTTTTTTTTCCAATTTACATTTTGTGTTATGCCTCTTTGTGGGATCAGAGTCATTGCCCTCTTTCATGGTATTTTGATGTCCTTTTTAATATTTCTTTTGAACTATTTTTTTTTCCTGCCAACTATATGCTTCTTTCTGATAGGGTCTGTAAACAGGTTTGGCTGCAAATCACATTTATTGCGTAATTTTTTTGAACTGAAGTTCAAAGAGCCAACACCTATTCAAAGGCAAGCCATTCCAATTTTACTTTCGGTAAGCTATTCCTTTCAATTGCATAATTGTGCTTCAATCATCATTTTTTATAACTATTGATTCTTATTGTTTATGCCTTAGGGACGTGAGTGTTTTGCTTGTGCACCAACTGGATCAGGCAAAACTTTGGCTTTTCTGATCCCCATGCTTATGAAAATTAAGGTAACGCTTTGTTTCCTCCAAAAATCATGCCTATCTTTATAAAAGCTACAATGATTATTTCATGAAATCAGCCAGGACATAAAGAAGGTGTTAAAGGTTTAATTATCTGTCCTACAAGAGAATTAGCTGCACAAACTACCAGAGAGTGTAAGAAGGTGGCTAAAGGTAAAAAGTTTCACATCAAACTTATGACGAAGGAGCTGTCCAGATGCGGAGATTTTCAAAAAATACCCTGTGAAATTCTTGTATCAACTCCACTCCGTGTTGATTTTGCTGTGCGCAAGAGGAAGCTTGATCTAAGTAGGTAAGTTGCTTATTTAGTGATACTACTAACTGCTCTAGTAAAAGTAGAATATCTAATTTGGTTTTGAAAATTCTTTCTAAACTTCATTCATTAAAAAAATAAATAAAATGGGTTTGCTCTATTAGTTTTATCATTCTTGATACCTTTATATCCATTCTCAATAATCTCATGCATGCTAGCATATTCATTGTTAACCAGTGATATTTTTTTATTAATTTTCGGAATTAGATTTGATATTCAAAAACTTTGAATCAACAGTATGAAAAGATTCTAGAAATATATATAGCAGGAATTATGGGGATTAATTGATTTACAGTCAGGAAACAATTTCTTCTAGAACATGGAAGAAAAAATACTTGATATTACCATACATGAAAAGGGCCTGATGGTTATTAATGCATGACTAGAGGTTCCAGGGAATCAGGAAGGCGAACCTAAAAAATGTTTCAGTAGAAACTAAGTTTGTTTTCTATTTGAAACAATATGTTGTGTACACCAACACGACAACACAGCAACATCTCCAAAGGATGCTCCCTACTTATCATCAATTTCTTTCTCCAAATCAAACAACTAAATCTTTGGCGACTAAATTAGTTATAAAATTAATTTAAAAATTTACAAAAAATTAGTAAATGGATAAATGCTAAATAAATATGGAAGTCTTACCAGATTTAATTCAAATCAGTACAGGTAGTTCAATTATTGCAAAAGCGGTCATGACATTCCCCCTTAAAATAATGTCATCATCGACATTCACTATTAGCTAGAAATCAAAATAGATATGGATAGAGCTGTCTCATCCCAACCTTTTTTTTTTCCCAATGTGGCATCTTTATCTACCTGTGCTTCCGTTGAACATTATTCATAGAAATCAGCTTGCTCCTCAATTATCTCACTTCATAAGTTAAAATACACTCAGGTTCCTTTTTGCAAGTCAAATCAGGCCGTATATTAGCTTCAATCTTTGGAATTCTGTGCTCAAGGTCAGTAACCTACTTTCTTAGCACTGATACATGGAACACATGTAAATCAACATATGACCTGACAAATATAATCTGTAAGCAGACTTCTCAACTCTATTGATTACCTCGAAAGGCCAAATATATTTCGGACTCAATTTTCCTTCTCTACCAAATATGTTGCTCTCAACGTATTCTTGATCAATCTAATCTTCTCAATGGCTTCATTCAATAATTTAGGACCTATCAATTTTCTCTCACTCACCTCTGTGCAAGACAAAGGTATCCTATATCTCCTGCCATATAATGCATAAAACGGTGTCATGCCAATACTCGGCTGAAAATTTTTATTATAAGCAAACTCAATTAAAGGGATATGATCCTTCAACTTCCTCCAAAATAAACACACAATCTCAATAAATCTTCAATCACTTATCTCATAATGACCATCAATCTACTGGTGAAAAGTTGTACTGCAACTCAACTTAGTCCCCAAAACCTCCTAAATACCTCTCCACAATATGGAAGTGAATTTAGAATCACAATAAGAAATAATAACCTTCAGTATTCCATGCAGTCTGACAAACAGAACCTTTTTTTTTTTCTGCAACGGTTACAACAGCACTTGAACGGCTTCTGGGTCCAGCCACAGCTACTGGAACTTGAATGGCCTCTGGTGACTTCAGATGTCTGGCTGAAGCTTCTGAAAGGGAGGCAAGCTCTAGATAGGAGGTGGAAAGGAGCAAGCAGTGCCTTTCTGCTGCTGGTTTTTGGTGTAGTTAAAGCGCTGGAGGTTATGAGGGTGTGTGTGTGTGAGAGAAATTAAAACTGGGATTCAAGTTTAGAGCTGGCTTAATATCCTATTGGAGAATTCTGATGATTAATTTAGTTCCCTCATTTTGTTATAAACTTTTAGCAATGAAAGATAAATGCAGCAGCTAACATTTTTTTATCATTTACTATTTTATACTTGAATTCATTATAATGTTTCAGGTGACAATATAAGGTGTCTGCCACTTCTTGCAGGGTGGAATATCTCGTCTTAGATGAATCGGATAAACTATTTGAGCTTGGTTTTGTTGAGCAAATAGATTCCGTAGTTAAAGCTTGTTCAAATCCTTCAATAATTCGATCTTTGTTCAGTGCAACCTTGCCAGACTCAGTAGAGGAACTTGCACGTACAATAATGCATGATGCAGTCAGAGTTATTGTGGGAAGAAAGTGGGTTATGTAACTATATACCATATTTATGCTCAAAATTCAGTTTTTAATGAAGATTTCTCTATGTAGCTAACATCTATTAATATTCTTTGCTAGAAATTCTGCTTCAGCATTAGTTAAGCAAAAGCTGTTATTTGCTGGAAGTGAAAAAGGAAAACTTCTTGCTCTTCGTTTAAGTTTTGCAGAGGTATGTCAATGTTCCCATTTCAAGCTATTAGCTACCATTATTCTACTTCGGTGCCTTAAGAAACTCTGTTATTTGTTTTGAAAACATTTTCTTGCATATGAAGTCATTAGCTTGAGTGTGGTGATAATTGGTTCGGTTCATGAACTAGACCTGAATATTGATATGCCTAGTCTTAATTAGTATGTAAATAGTAAATAATTTTACATAATTATAATAAAGTACCTAATCTTAATTAGTATGTAAATAGTAAATAATTAGTTAGTTATTAATCATGTAAAGACTAAATTATCATTTAAGTTGCTTTTCCGTTTCATTTAATTGTATTTTCTTGCACAACTATTTTTCCGAGCACATTAAGTGGTACTGTTCAAGGAAGTTGAAGCGCGCAATAAAATACTATGCCAAACAAAGCCTCAATTTTCTTCTCCATTCAATATATATATATATATATATATATATATATATATATATATAAGAACTCAACCAAGTGGTTGGGAGTTCCCATTAACTTATTCTTATTTAGCAATAATCCATGGCTTCCCAGAAGCTTGCTTTCACCATACCAAATTGTGGGAAGGAGGCCAGTGAGATCTTTAGATGGTCTTCACAAAACATCATAAATCTCTACCTATCAGAGTTTATCGGCCGCCCTACCATTTCTAAAGCTAATGGGCAATGGCAAAGCCATCCGTGCCCCTCCACATACTTTCCTTCAGATTTTTTAAAAATTTATAGCAGCTTTATTGGTTGTACTACGCACGAGTTGAGGACCGTTTTTACAATTTGATAGGACCAAACACCAACCAGGTTAGAGAGCTCATCGAACCACTACACTGTTGGACTAGATTAAGAAAATGGTTGGAGATCTGAACACAACTGCTTGATACTCCTGTTCTTAAGTGATTTCAAAAATAATTTCTCCAAGAATTAACGATTTTGACTTCCCCAGCAAGGCGGCACTTCAAGCTGGAGCAGGAGTCAATTTGAAGGAACATTAGTAATTGTACTAATTTATGATAGGGCTTCTTTGATTTTAATGTTTCGTTGCATGTTAAATTTCACTTTGTAAATAACGGTTTGCTCTTTAAATATATGGTAAAAATTTTCAGCGAAGCTGATGCTAAATCATAGATGTTAACTTAGTTTGGTTTTATCCCTAGTGAAATAGATTACTTCCATATTGCTTTAGAATGGCTGTATTTTGTAACTCGCAGAGCTTTAATCCTCCAGTTTTAGTATTTGTCCAAACAAAAGAAAGAGCAAAGGAGCTTTACAAGGAATTGGCATTTGATGACATAAAGGCTGACGTTATTCATGCAGATCTAACTCAAGAGCAGGTAGCAACTTATACCGTATAAACTAATATAACATGAACTGCATTCCATACTTCAATAACTGATGTAGTTCCAGATTCCTGTGAATGTGTTAACATTGGATTAATTATTCTATGCGGTTGCCGAACGCCGTCCAAAGACCAATCACAATGCGCCGCGTCACCCCTGCGTTCGGTACTGTGGCTCGGTACTGTTGACGTGGCATTTTGATTGGTCTCCGGACGACATTCTGCGTCCGGTCGCCGCACAAAATAATTTCTTGTTACATTGAGACCCTCATGCTAGTATAACCTCTCTCTGCTGATCTAATTGCTTTCCTATCCTTATATTTTCTCAGAGAGATGATGCAGTTGATGATTTTAGAGCTGGAAAGACTTGGGTTTTAATAGCAACTGATATCATTGCTCGTGGAATGGATTTTAAGGGTATTAATTGTGTCATCAACTATGATTTTCCTGAATCAGCTTCTGCTTATATTCATCGAATTGGTATGTGCTGTTCAATCGATATTGTATAAATAGCTTCGTTAGTGCCAATGGTTTGCTTTCATTCTCCATGAATCTTATCTCTTACTGATTATGGCATTTTTGTTAGTATATTACTGGCAACAATCTCTTCCAGAGTTGTTTATTGTTAAATAAGCCTTGTCTGAATCAGAAGCGACTAATTTAACAATAAATAGCAATAGAATTCTTAGGGAATAACTGAGAAATTAATTTTTCTGCCATTTTTTTTATTTAACTTGTTTAATAATAGGTCGGTCAGGAAGAGCAGGGAGAGCTGGTGAGGCTGTGACACTGTTCACTGAAGAAGATAAACCATTTCTAAGGAACATAGCTAATGTGATGAAGGATTCAGGCTGTGAGGTTCCTGCTTGGATCCTATCCCTGCCTAAGCTCAAGAGGAAGAAGCACAGACCGAAGAGAGATTCTGTAGGAGCCGAGCCTGATGACACTGAAGAATAAAGCTGTTAAACTGTTAAAAAAAAATCTTTTTCCCGATTCTCTTTATGTTTGCTTTCCTTGGTGAATGAATTCCTTACCATTTTGTAAGTATTTAAGTTAGATTTCATAATTATAATTATCTATATTTATTAATTTAATCATTTTTACATGAAAATGTTGCACTGTTTAGAGGGACAGATCAGGATTAAAGAACTACGATGTTGTCTTACGTTTTTATTTTATTGTCATGTGTTTTACGCTGGTTATCCTTTTATTTTGAAGCATATATGTTAATGTATTTATATACTGAGTTTTTTTTTTTACTTGAGGCTTTATTTATTTTTTATTACTTATTAAAGCAATTTATGTATCAAATACAAGAAAAAAAGATTCATCTACATTTATTTTACACATTCAAATAATTTCAAAATATTCTTTTTACAAGATATTTTTTATGCACTATATTATTTTCTTAGCCAATTAAATAATCTCTTAAATTTGAATGATTAGTGCATGAGTTTGGAGTCTTGGGCATGACAAATTGATTATCATGCCTTAGTATTAGCGAAAAGGAATTATTAAATAGACATTTCTATTTGCGTAAAATTTATATTAGAATTGGAACTATAAATATGAATTATTGGTCGAAAATAAAAATAAACAAATTTGAAAAAAAACAAATTTATTCTTTATATGCCATGATTAAATATACTTAATTCCTAAAAAAAAAACTTATGTACCAAAATTTTAGAAATAGTTTTAAAAATTCTTTAAAATGTTTTAAGATAATACAATGTAAGCACAATTAATATTATATAAATATAAAAAATACTTTTAAATTCCATCATAATTACTTTTAAATCATTGCATCTTTATCCAAAAAAGATTCATAATTTTCTGCCAATATATAAAAATTGTAATATAATAATACATTTTGAAGAATAAAATCGGTGTTTATTCATTATTCTGAAAAAGAAAATGTATCTGAACAAATTAAAACAAATGATAACACTCAAATAGTATAGGAATCAGCTGAAACAAAGGGTCACACAAAAGAACAAATTTCGAAGGCTTAAAAAAGTAATAGGCATCAGTTAAAGATATAAAAAAATATTAAATTTTCAAACGCAAATACCTAAATAAACTTCAAATTGGGCCACTAGAAAATAAAAAAATTTACACATACATATTCCATGATTGCGAAGATAAACGTTTCTCGATAAATCTTCAATGGACCAGACAACCTGAAAAAGAAAAGTGCAGAATCGTACTGTTAATATTAGCTAGTTTATGAGGAGTAAATGCGAGAAATTATTTTGTGCGGTCACCGGACAATTCAGAGGCAAATTAGTATATGCCACGTCATCCGATACATAATGAAAAAATGATATAGCGCTTCATGATTCGCCTTTGAACTCCGTCCGGTGACCACACAGAATAATTTATCGAGAAAATGCATACCTTTGTCATCCAGACATCCATTAGTTCAACAATAAGAAGAATTAGAAAATTGCTAATTATGTCTATAGGAATGTTGAACTCGTTATCTCGGCTATAACAGGAACTACATAATGCAACAAGCTCACTTAAACGCTTTGGATAGAGACAAATTCTCAGAGCACTTTTAGATGTCAAAATTCACAGATTAACAAGGATTTTATAGGTACAGTGGAATCAATTATATCAAAATCACTAAGGAAAAAGAATTTAAAGAAAATGAACAGTAGGAGTTCAAGAGGGCAGCCTTAATATATCTTGTTTGTAAATAATCTAAATACTTTATAATTATGTTCTAAATATGCCCATTTTGACTAATAAGCTGTCATACATAAAAATAGTCAATGCCAATATCAATATTGCTTGATCAGGTAGTTTATTAACACAGGATGGCATCAGAAGGATTCAAAGTCTGGACTAAAAACTTTATTAAACATGAAATTTTTTTTGGGGTATTTAGGCCAATTAAGGCAGACTCATACACACAATGCGAACACAAGACTCGAACTCAAGACCTCTTAATTGATAGTCTAAGCTCCCAACCAACAGACCAAAATGAGTTGTGTATTAAACATGGATAGCACTAACCAGAATAAATCTGCAGCCAGGGTTCAGCATTTGTCAGAGGCATTTTATTGCACCAATAAAGCACTGATGATTTCAGTTCCAGAACTAAATATACGGAGAAGTATTATGGCATACACCTAGCATAGAAAAATCATATCAGAATTCAAATTATTTGCATCTTGTGATACAGTCCCAATGACTTCACATAATGAACAACACAAGGAATTGCATTGAAGACTTGTCTTAAATCATAACTATGACAGTTCTTTCATGAATTTTGTTATAAATCCAACTCACCATTGGATTTTATGTCAGTTGAACTGATAGCTAGCTTCTCAAAATAACCCTTTGTAGCATCTATCGTGTAAGAAGAAAACAACTAATGAGAATACTTGCCGAACAAAAAATTGAAGTAAGATTATGCATTTCTGAATAATATGGAATAATTCAGCTCTTTCCTTTCGATACTAACCATGTTTCATTGTTAAAGATGGATCTTCTTCATCTAAATACCCTATTATCTTTGCTGGATTACCTACAGCCATGCTTTAGACAAACAAAAAGTAGAGGCATGACAATATATCAGCATCACAACTTCCCATTTTAGGAGGATTCAATAAATAAAGATCATATATGATAGTATGAGGGATGGAATATAGTAAAAATTACCAAATAAAAATGAAATATAAACGAAATTACAATTTTGATGTATGACAAATGATCAATAAATAGCTTATCACTACTGGATCAACGCTCACGAGCAGAATTTTCAGATGGTTCAACAGTTAGAACTTAGCATTCAATTCCAATTACAAAAAAGCCAACGACAATTTCTTGCCCAAAAATATTGAAAAAAATGATTCAGAATACTCTTAGATAGCCAGATCAAACCTTCTAGGCATGTCATAACTAATCAAGGGGTGCCTGAAAATACCTACCCTCATATTCTTACACTAGAAGCAGTAGAACAACTGTGTACAAGAAAACAATTATTACACAAAAAATAATATATCTTTGATGGTACGATGTTATTTAAATGGATCAAGCAGAATTTTCATTCTGAACGCAAAGAATAACTCCCTACATTCACTTGCGGTTAAACCGCATTATTTCAACATCTTTCATTCCATGAAATCAACTACAAGAATGACTGGCTTTAAAGAGCCTTAAAACATATAGAAGAATAAAGTTCTTAGCCACAAAACGTTTACTCAAGCCTGAGAACCAGCAAAAAAAAAGTCACTTTTGGGAAGGAACAAGTAACTGCTTTCTACAGTGAACAAGCATCAAGCAAACAAGAGGGAAATGAAGGTTTCATTTGACGCAGCAATTTATTATTTTTCTGACAGAAAAAAGCAACCAATGAAAATTATTGTTTATTTAGATGAAAAAATTATACAAAAATTTTCCTGTTTTTTCTGGAATGTGCTTAAGAAAAAGTTGCTTTTTCTGTACATATAACTTTAAACATTTCTGATAAAAAAAGCAAAAAAAAAAAAAACACAAATTGACCTAAACGAAGCAGAAGTTGCGACTTAAAAATAAGAAGATCAGAAGTGGGCAGGTGATTAAACGTGACTGCATAGTTCTGTGTACTACACAAAACTATAAGGCTATTAAATGAAGAATCTGCCCAGTTTAGTCGATACCATAAAAGATCAAAAGCGCAAGGATTATTGACCAAACAATACTAAAGAGCCAACGAAACATGGGAGATTCTGGGACCATTTATTTCAAAGCATACTTGACATAGTATATATATGAACTTGTGCAAAGATAATAATAAAGAAATTAGTTTCATTTATAGCTTTGTTTTCACCAGCCCTAGGATATGAGTTACATTGGTGGAAGAAAACTTTACATGTAGGAATCATATGAATAAACGTGGAAAAAAAAAAGTATAGAACCAATAAAAGCTCAACAATCTCTCATCTGATCAGATAGATATTTGACAAAATACTATGCAGAGGAAGAATTACACAAATATTACCATTCTCAGAATAAAATTATAAGGAAGTAAAATAAAGCCACTAATGAAACAATTTAAGGCATCCCAACCTGTGAGAAGGGACATTTTTCAGTACGAGGGAACCAGCAGCAATCATAGCTCCTTCACCAACAATAATGTTTCCAAGAATTGTTGCGCCAGCTCCAATAAGGGCCCCTTGACCAATTTTGGGATGGCGATCTCCAACTTCCTTGCCTGTTCCACCTAATGTGACACCCTACAAAAGTTCTTACAGAATGAGTACTTCATGCTAGAATGTTTTGGGATCTATAGGTAGGTACCGAACTAATATTAATTGATATCCGTTTTAAGTTAAATACTGTTAAATTAAATTAAAATAGTCTGAAATACGCAGAAGACAAGCAACATAGGATCTTCAAATAGGATATGTTGCTGAAAAAAGAATGCATGTGCTGTAAGACATGCAAGGCAACTACATACAAAAAAGGTATAAAACACCATTTTATGTCATCTTGGCGGGAACATGAAGTGGGAGAGAGAAACTTTGGCAATCAATTAATGATTTAAAATTTTGCTTTCTTTAAGGATGCTGTTGGCAAGAGTAATTGGTTATTCCAATAGTCTGGTTATCTACAACTCATAGTCTTCCCACAGGCGCAATTTTCACAATTTCTAACAATCAAATCCTAAGAGTTTCATTTTTCCTGAAGTGCAAATAGCATTTAAATGGATACTTCAATCAAGAAGATAAAGAAAATAAAATAAAAAATGGAAGTTGCATTTTCAAACTTTGACCACCTATTTTTTGCTTGGATAACAAACTAAGAAGGGGGTTTGCAAAATGAACCAACATGTGATGTGGTTAGGAAGGTATTAATTTTTATGTTTTTCTTTTTAAGTCTCTTTTTAGCCTTTTATATTACCAGGGGTAGTTTGGTGATCAATAACTTTTAATCCTTAGGCTTTTTCATGTAAATACCCCAGTTTTAAGCTAGACGGAAGTTTATTGAATATTAAATTTCAGGTTTATCCTAGTTGGGAAGGATTTCCCAGCTCTTGGGGTAGATTTCCCCGTGTTTGAAGAGGTTAGGAGGAAATGGGCAAAAGCGAAGTCCAACAATTCACCAAGATTGGTAGCCAATTCTCCTAACCTATATCTTATCAGCCGAGTTCACCTACCAAGGAGTTTTCCTGCAGAAACCTGGAGGTTGGCCTCAGTTCGAGAGGTGGACATCTCTTGATTTAATCTTAGCACAGTGTTGTAAGGAAAAAAAAAAAAAAAACAGGGAATTTATGGAGCCAGAACCAAGAGGTCTGGTATTCTTGTTAGTTTCCAGCCCTAAGAATATTATTCTACCATATGCAGCAGGGTTCTACCAGGCTTCTGTGAACTGTAATGGTAAAGCCATTTTTTTCTTGGAGCCAGGAAATCGTCTAAAAGATAGATTCACTGCTTTCACGGATTGTTTTCTTTTACTTAATACTTTGAATCTGTCACCGTTTTTTTTTCATTGCTTACTGCAGGAGGTTGGATCCTCCAATCCAATTCCATTCTGTAACAAGAAGTTGAGAAACTAAGTGAAAAATATGAGATTTCAATATCTTCTTGAACCAAAAATTGGTATTACTGGTTATCTCTTCTCTAATCACGTAATTCATCTTAATATCTTAATCTTGAGTAGATATCCACTAATTGCCTTAGACAAACACTTCAGGTCGGCAAAATTTAAAAAGTTCGGCATCTAATTAAGCAAATTTGAACATTAGCCTGTTTGTTCATTTATATTTGTATTTGTTTTTAACAAGTAGCTTATTAAGAGCTCAATTAAGGCTTGTTATTTTATGCTCTTATATTATATGTTGATAAATGCTAACCCGGCCAAATTTGGATTAGTCAAATATTTCAAAAAGCTGAATTTTAATTATGCATACCTTTGAGTCAAATAAAAATGTTATAAGTTTGATAATCAGCACCTCCCGTAAATTTTTATGCTTAATTAAAGCTTGAGCTCAAAAAAACAAACAAACAAACAAACAAACTTGAACATGATTTTAATACTTGGATTCTGTTGAAGTATTGCCCGAGCTCGATTAGAAAATAAATAAACATGAATATTATAGTATATGAATTGGCTTAGTTCAGCTTATTTAAAGCCCCAATAAAAGAGCTTCTATATGCTAAAAAATAATAATATTTTAAAAGAGAACCGCAAAAGTTCTGTTTCTTTATTTTTGACTAGAACTACAAAAATAAAGACAGCTAATGTAATAATATGAAAACGTAAAGTTTACAAACGTTTCTAAGGTCAATAATTTCATTTAGTACTTTATTTATCGATATCTATTTTGAGATTTATTCAATGATTTGTAATAAGGAAATATTTAGATTTTTTTATTATATTTTAGAATATTCCCTGTTTTTGTTTTTTTATTTTTATTTTCTTTTTGAAAGAGGTCGTACCCTGGTGTATGTTTTTGCTGATGATATTCTTCTTGTTGATAAGACTAGAGAGGGAGTTGAAGGTAAACTTGAATTATGGAGGTTACCTTAGAATCTAAAGGCTTTCTTTTGAGTAGATCTAAAACTGAATATATGGAATGTAATTTTAGTAATAATAGATCTAGTTGGGGGGTTGGATCAAATCATTAATAAGAGTACACGTTTCAAATCTTGGGTCTATTATTCAAAGTGATGGTGAAAAAGATGGGGATATTATTAGTAGAATTCAAGTTGGATGGTTGAAGTGGAGGAATGCATCGGGGTTATTGTGTGATAGAAAAATCCCCCTTAAAATTAAAACAAAATTCTATAAGATGGTGGTGAGACCTGCAATGCTTTATGGTGCATAATGTTAGCCATTAAAAGAGAAGCATAATATTAAGTTTTGCAAAGATGAGGATGCTCAAGCGAATGAGTATTTTAAGCTTAGAGACAGGATACAAAATGAGCATAAAAGTGATAAAAGTTGGAGTAGCTCTAGTGGAAGATAAGATTAGAGAGAGTTGTCTTAGATGGTTTGGTCACATAAAAAGGCAGCATTCAAATGATCCGGTTAGGAAAGTAGATGTATTAGATTTGACTTATGTTAAGAAAAGTAGAGGCAAACTAAAAAGACTTGGTTACAAAATATTAGAAATGACCTTTCTTTGTTAGATTTAAATGATAATTTGACTCTTAAAATGGCATAATGGAGAAAAAAGATTCATGTAGCCAACCATACATAGTGGGATAAAGGCTTGATGTTGTTGTAGTTGTTATAATCCCTAGGGTTTCCTATTACTATAAATAGGATATTTATGGTTAGGATGAATGATTATGATGAATGGGAGATATTTGAACAACTCCCTCTCTCCACCTTTTTCAACTTCCATTCTCCCACCACTCTCTCTCGCGCATGCGCAAGCACGCATATTTTCTTTCTCTCATTTTCTTTCCCTCTATCTGGTGAACAAATTTTCTTCACTCCCCTTAATCTATCACCAGCTCCTTGTAGTCACCTCCATAACTGCAGTCAGCAATCTCTATGCCACATGGCGACCCTCTCCTATTACCATTGTAATCAAAGCGATGGAAAACAACTCCACGCCCTCAGCAAAAACTCCTTAGCCCCAACGCCACCGTAACATGAAGCAATTGTATCTATGTTAGAGATACTGAGGAACTATAATGAAATGTGAATAAGGGCTTTTTCACCTCACATGCAAAATACACAACTAAAAATGTAAAGAAAATCAGTAATCATTCCAAACTTATTAGGAGGTTAAAAGATAGGATTACACACTTTGGGGATTCAAGAAAATGAGGGAACTGCTTGCAAATTATGCCCAAAAAAAAAAAGAAACCAAGATGTTGATTTGTTCAAAGATACAATAGAAATTGTGTGCCACTCTGGGCCCATATTCTGATTAAATCTTGTAAAATTCTTGGATTTGTGCCTTGTAAAATAGAACAAAAAAAACAAAAACAAAAAGTAGCAACAACCTCTTATGTTTTTCCAATGTGTACCAATAGTAGCTTTTTTCAAATAGATGTGCTTCTATTAATACATATAGCAAAAAAATTCACAAAAAATTGCATCACAACAAACGTATAAGATATAAATTAGTCAAATTTACAACTTAAAACTAATTGTGAAGAATCTAGGCACAATGGTTAACATAAGAAGCAAAAGAATACTGTTAAATAATTACTAAGTAGGAAAAAACCAAAAAGAGCCAACATATAGGATTGAGAATATAGCTAGTACCTGCATCAATGAAACCTTGTTACCAACAACAGCAGTTTCACCAATAACTAGACCAGTCGCGTGATCCAATAGAATTCCCTCTCCAATTTTTGCCGCTGATTAATAAACAATTGGAAGACCTTAGAATCAATCAACTTCAGTAACGCAGCACAAATAGAATAATGTGCATTAATGAACCATACATGATTATAAGAACTACATTGGAAGTGAAGATTAGTACAATACTGCAGAATATATAAAGTATAGAGTACATTTTCTTTTATTTTAAGGCTAAATTCTCAAAAAATGTGTTGATAATTCCAATTTCAACACGTCAAATGCAAAATCGATGGCCCAAGTCTGAGTTCCAGTCCTTGGATAGGCTAGCAAGTTGGCCTTTTCAGACAAGGTGCATAGTCAGGGTAGGGTGAGGCTAAGCCAGCTCGTTTCTGCAGTAAGCAAGCAGCCGGCAAGCCACAGAAAAGCAAGCCAAGTACCATTATCACACATCTATAGAATGGTTGCTGAATTATTTGAAATTAAAGTAATTATCCAAACACTGGGAACAAGATGAGGCTACTATTAGCTTTGGAATATTAAAATTTAGAATTAGATTATGTTAAGTCTATAATATCTCCATCTAAGGTTTTACAAGATGAGGCTACTATTAGCAAGCCAAGTAACATTATCCATCTAAAGTAATTATCCAAACACTGGGAACAAGATGAGTCAACTATAAGTTTTACAACCGCACACTCGCAAGGATGCACACCCGCGGCTCGCACCCCTCACGGAAGCACCTCGGGCCTCGCTTTCACGGGTCGCAGCCTCGACTACATGCTTCGTGCACCTCGCAGGCCCGAACTTGAGCTCGCCCATGACGGCCAGTCATCACCATAGCTTACTACTGCCCTGCTTGAACCCGGGTTGGCAGGTCAGGTCCGAGTTCAGATTTCTGACCTATTTATAAATCGGGTCGGGCTCGGGTTGGAACAGTTGAGAGCGGGTCAATTTCGAGACCCGACCCGACCAAACCAGAAAACTCATTTTGACACCTCTAACACACACACATACACACACACACAGAGAGAGAGAGAGAGAGAGAGAGAGAGAGAGAGAGAGAGAGAGAGAGAATAAAGAGGGAGTGCGTGAGTGGGGGGGGTGTGACTGTGTCTTGTGCGTGAGTGGGAATGAGGGGTTTATTAGGGATTAAGTGTAACTTTTATTATAAACAGCTCTCCTTAGCCTATTGGTTAAGAGGTTAGGCTTCCAACTAAGAGGTCTAGGGTTCGAGTCTATGTGTATGCGTTGTGTGTGTGAGTTTGCCTTAAATGGCCTAAATGTCCAAAAAAAAAGTGTAACATTTATTATCATTCTTTTTTTTTTCTTAAAAAATTTAAATACATAAAATTAATATAAATAGAAAATATCTAAGTACATCAACCGTGCCTTGATATGCTTGCCAAATCATTATTATTCATAAACGTCTATTCAGCTTTGTTTAGCCCACACAAACTTGGCCAATGTGAGTGTCGATCTCAGTTCTTTTAGCTGCTCCGAACGCCATGGCGCTCTTTGTTTCTCAAATGGAGGTTGTTTTGGCGATTTAGATTTTTGGTCGAAGCACGTCGGATGAGTTTCGTGTGACATCGAGCTCTTCAGTTTTTTAAATTCACCGTGTGCAGTTGACTTGACCCCGACACTAATATTGAAATCAACACTCGTCATAGAGGTCATTGAATGATTACAATTTGTTGTCTCGCACATTGTCAACTCTGTTTGCTTGCAGAAGATTACATATATTAGTTATCCTATAGGGAGCTATAATAATCTCATATGGACATATCCTTCTATCACAGAAAAATATGTCAAGTACAAATCATAAATCCTATAGATTTTAATTCCCAATAAATAAATGAAAAGGGAGAAAATTTGGTATAATTTTAGCAATATCATGAAACATGAATGTGGAAATAATAAAAGTCTTAGGAGCATTCAGTAGTCATGTGATATTGGCATAATATGATAATTTCCATTTCGATATACATCAAGAGGAGAGTTTGTAAGGTGTGGAGCAACAAACTAAGTAGCAAGTACAGACTGATAGGGTGTGGAGCAACAAACTAAGTAGCAAGTACAAACTGATAGGACGAGCAGAGAGTGATGCAAAGTAATGTCATAGGTGTACCATGCGGGTTGATGTTTGAGGCAAAGGAGCAACATGGGCGAGCATGAGATATAGGTTGGCAAGTGACATCAATGATCATTGCTAGCATAGTTTGCAAGTAGGCGTGCAATGTAAGCATGTGCAAAACATGAGAAAGCAACATATGATATAGCATATGGGCATATGATGCAAGCTAGCACGTGACACGAGGGAGCCGCACATGCATGAAGTAGATGTTGCATTGCAATAAGAGAGCAATGAACGACACATGTGCATAGGGGTTTTAGACATGAGTGTGGGTAGGTAAGGAGAGAGAGAAACCAATTAATTGGGTGGGCGGCTAGGGGCTTACCACTCTGATACAATATATAGAGAAATAGAAGTTATTTGTCTTATTGACTTTAAGAGAATCTTTAAATAAGTAGCCAAGAGAATATAACAAGGACACAAATAGTCATGGATAATACCTAAAATTATGAGAACAACTTTTAAATATAATCTCCTTTCAATATTACTATTCCCATTTATCAAACCAAAACTATTAAATATGCCAGTAGAGCTAAAACCTTAAGTAACACTCAACAAAGCCAGCACAGAGTAGTTGGGATAATGTTATAAGTGATAATGATGATGAACCAAGTAAGCTTGCGAGTATGATAAACATTTTTGTAGTTTATGAACAATCAAGACTAATTCATAGTAGATACAAATTTTCTAGGGCAATAAAGAAGTTGGTAACCCTTCCAAGAATCTTAACCTTCTCAAGAAAATCGAAGAAAGGAAATACCTGGGTGTATATCCACTGAAAAAACCTAAAATCAAAAGATCAAAGAGAGCTGAATTAGTATGGGGACGCTTGAAATTTCCTATAGCTAATATAATGAACTTGAAACTTGGCCAAAGGTCATTACAATAGGCAATATATCAGTTTTGTCAGCTCAAATAGTACCTCACTAATGCGACTTTGCAATGCCAATGCTAATACTTTGCGTCCTTGGTTCCATAAAGCATGGGCTACTCGATATGACTGCAAAGAATGATAACCCTAAAGAAAAATAAAAAGGCTATGTCAGAAGAACCTACTGATCATGACATAGAAATAATCATGAATGAGATTAAAAAATTAAAAAAAAAAATGAAATGGGTGATTATAAGACAACTCAATAACAGGATTTACATGATAAAGTACATAAATTTGTATATCAGCTTCCCCAAATTGATAAAATTTCATAAAATCATGCAGAAAATATTGGAAGCATATTTTTTGAAATTATTTCCTGACAGGATATCAGTAGTTTTATGCACCAACATACCTTAAGGTACAATAATGCCCAGCTATATGATGCACAAGCAGGATCCCTATCTCTGAATGCCTGTATAGAAACTTTTATTTTGTTAGCTTTACGCTTATCAAGTTCTTGAGAAGATAAAAAAGCAAAACGAAGATACCTTTCAAAAATTAAATGGATCACCTGAAGATCTAGGCGAATGGATTGTTGAATTCCTCTATCATTCATTATAATATTTTCAAAAATATCCATTAATTGTGCTGCCAATAACGTTGGATCCTGAAGTCTATTAGCTAGTACAAATCCTAGAGCCTCCTCCAGACAGTTATGAGATAAGATACTAGCATACAAGAAGCTACTTAATATTGGCTCCTTTTCAGTCTGATAAATTGTAAAAGAAAAAAAGAGAGAGATGTAAGAACAGAAGAATGAACAGCTGCTAGTATAAATCAAACAGTTGACATTCAAATGATAAATAGCACAAATTTTTCAACAAAGAATAATGGAAAACATTAAGTTCAACATAACGAACATAAAAAACAAGCTTGCATGTCCACCTGCAGAGTCTTTTAGCTATACTGACAAAAGATATCGGATATAACTCCTGGTGCTTACACAACCCTAATCTGTAGTAAAGGTTGAAGAAATCTCATCTAACATGCATAAAAAGGTACGTATTATCACAGGATAGTTTACCATGATTTTTTTAATGCACTAAAGATCGCAGTTTACTCTACATAATCCCCAAAACTTCTGCCAGTATACTAATCATGATTTTTTTTTAAAGAGCAAAACGAATAAACATAATTCTCAGAAAATTAGTAAAATATAGTCAAAACTATGGTTCAAACTCAAAATTCAGAAGAGAGCATTCTTGATGAAGGAGTCATAACTATATTTTAAATGACAATATGTCATGAACTTCATATGGGACACATGAAAATGACAATGTCCATCTTTCAGTTATGGCGCTGCAGAATACTTCTTTTCTGATAAAAATATTGAGCATAAAAGAAGCTGCCAGGGTGCCATAGCTTCTCATTCACAAAATGAAGAAAATAAAGAAGTATTACACTTTCCATCAATAAATCCAAATACATCCTAGCAAATGTAGCAAAAATTCATAAGTTGTAGAGGTTACCTCAAAGTAGTGCTGAGAGTTTACAAAACAAATTCCGAGGCTTTATTTTTATTATTGCAGTTCCTCAAACATAAAATAGATGTTTCTTTTGTGATGGTTTTAAAAAACAACTTTAGGAATATGTACTTTTTAGTGATGCTCCTGAGCAGCAAAAGGTATCTGAAACCACTGCTTTGGAGAAATTAGTTGAAAGTTATGCAAAGCATGCCAATAGTATCTAAATAAATACTCTCCCAAAAGCCATTAGCTGCATGAGAATTACATTTAAGAACTTATTCATAGCATGTAGCCCAAAGTACAAATCAAAGAAGTCTAAAAATTGCTAATAGCTATATAAAGCTTACACAATCGGACACAATATTGTTTGTTAATTAAGCCAAACGTATCTTCAAGCCCACTGATGTGGTTGTCTACCTTCATTCCAGCGATATGTTAAGTTGACTTTGTAAATGGATAGATACATCAACGGACCTTACTGCTTTGTTCTCAAATTTACAAACCATAATTGACTTTATCTGCCAATGTCAATTTAGAATTGCCTACTTAGTTATAACCAATTTTTACACTGAAAATCCTTATATACCCAACTTCTAAGGTGATGATCCATGAAACCTCATGAATTCCTGATTAACATTCATCCGAGTTAAGGGACAATTTGCCTTTAGCCTTATTCTATTGAATTCATTTATAAAAAATCGACTTTAACAATGTTATTGATGCATACCCCATAGATAACTTACTTCTTCGCAAATACTAAATCCAATGAACCATCAATACCTCCATCAGTCTGACTCCCATATGCCCATAGCTTACTAGTTACTGTAAAAAGTTCGACATTCTATTTCAACGAATTGGCCAATGCATGTGTTAGACATCGCTCCAACAAAAGCCTTCATATCATATCCTTTCAAATTCCCATCAATTGAATTAAAGCCATAACTCAACCAACATAGATATGTTGTAATTTCATAGGAAATTTTCAGTAAACCTGAATACGTAGAAAAATGAATCAAAAGCAAACATTCAATTTAAAAAAGGGAAATTTGATGCAACCTGACAACAATAACATAATGCAACCTGACAAGTGCGACTTTCAGCAGATACATCCACATTCATTCAAGAAAATACAAGGAAAACACTCACCTCCGACTTAGCCTCAGCTCTGATGGTATCCCATATGGGATCAGACGCAGAATCAGAAGCAGAGAGAGACATCAAAGAAGGAGCGTCCGGCTTCGATTTCCCCATCGCATAGAATGGAAAAATTCTCTCAGAGCGGGAGCTCAAATTCTTCCAATCTCGAAAACACGTGGAAGAAACCCTAGTTTCTCCTTTCGCCTCGCCTTCGCCATTCAACTCCAGGAGTATGATGTTCCTGCTGGACATCACACCCCAGCCAGAGCAAGCTTCTCACCGTTTTCACCGTAAGCTTACAGGATTCTGAAAGAGAGAAGGCGTAGGAGGAAGCAGTAGAGATGCGCAGCAGCGCTCCGGCGACAGCACCACCGCACGTTTAATCGCGCAAGCGAGCTGCACAAGTGATGTACGCGGCGCCGAGAAAGTGTTTGACCGTATCACCCTTAGCGTTATTTTAAATTACGGATCTTACCTTGCAGTGTGGGACCTTTGAACTGACTGCTTTTGTTGTCTCTCTCGGCGGCCGGGATTGACCGCGCTGTGGAACTTTGGACTTCCGGATAAGGGGTGAGAATCTTTTCAATCTTCAATGGTGGGTCTATGTTTATTTATTTATTTAAAAAAAAATAGGGGCAAAGTCCAATTTATTCTACTTTTTAATAATAATTACAATAAAAAGAATGCTAAAATTATAACTCAAAATCAATGAGAGTGGACCTTAAGAGATGCAGCAAAAACAAAACAATGCTCTAAAAAATAAATAAATAAACAGAAAAAATCTGAAAAAAAATGGACTCAGAATCACATGTTAGTTATCCATAGAAGTTTCTAAAACATCAAAATGAAAGGGCCAAGGTGTCCCTTGGTTGTTCGAGAGGACATACCAAGGGAAAAATAATAGCCATAAATGGGGGATTCATCACAATCCACCAAAAAATATCCAAGCCGACAAAACAACCCCATTAATATAGCAACCGAAGACATTAAAGCAATAATCTAAGGCGAATTCCTCCATCCAAGCCAAAGCAGCAAAAGAAGGCCTACAAAAATTAGAATTCCCCAAAATTCATTGTGGGCAAGGAACATCCAAACAATAGAGAAAAACCAATAAAAAAAGGAATCCCAATCTCTATCCAAGATAGTCAGCAAAATGAAGCGAATAGAAATGGCCAAGCTAGGAGATAAGCTTTCGAATTTCAAAATAAATTTTCCAAGCAACAATCTTATAATGAAGGGCCTTCTTAAGTTTGAAACAAGTTGAAGTGGAGTTGTCATATTCATTCCCACACCATCTAGCATTTCTTTCTAGCCAAATGAAGTAAAGAGAACAAGAAACAAAAACAAAATAAAAGTTCTTAGGAAGAGTCCCAATATTTTCCCTTTCAGAAATAGAAGATAGCAACTAGAGAAAAGAAGGCTTAGGCATAAAATTTTGAGCCCACGGTATAAAGTGGCAAATATGAGAAAGGAGTGGGGGCATTCTAAGAAGAGGTGAGAAGGGGATTCATTGGACTCCAAGCACCATAACCAAAGATGATTAATATGGATATTCCTCTGAATTAAAAGCACATGAAGTTTTTAACCCACCAATAATAGCAAGCCAAGTAAAAATAACATATCTTAAAAAGAATTTTTTATGCCAAATCAAGAGATACCAAGGAACTTTAGCTTGTCCTGTATAAGACTAGCTTTGTTAATATTCATTCTCAAACCTTCTAGCATTTCTTTATCTTCAAATGAAATAAAGAGAATAATAAACATTAAGAAAATAAAAGACGGATTACAATTTGGAGTTAATGACTCCAGTAAAACATTAACAAAATCTAAATACATCATATTACATCCTCCAGCTGGCTTTCCATCTAATTCAAACATTTTGCCAAATCAAGAAGCCAAATTGGAGGTTTGAAATCAAACCATCTACTAGCCCATGGATTTTGCATGATATTCGTAATCTTTAGAAATCATAAGAGGCAGTGGCATACTCTATTTTGATGAATGCTCAAGCGATTGGATTAAGAGGCCAAGTGTCGGGGTCTATGTGACGCCCCAGGCATCCATAGTGAAAGGATTTGTCGACAGTCTTAATCAATAAATCCATTCCTGCTACCTTGCTCGGACCTGAAAATATCAACCACATATAATGAGCTTACAAAGCCCAGCAGGTCACCTAATACCTATAACTGAAATCAAAGCACGGCGATGCTATCAATATGCATGTCAATCTATCAATCTGAATCAGTCAATGGTCAATGAGTCTATGCAGTGGAAATCAAATCAGTAGTCGATGCAATCCGAAAATCAATAGTCAATAAAACCAGTCAATGCAGCGGCAGGCAAATCAATCATTTCAATTCAATCAATCAATATCCGTCAATCAAATCAATACGGTCAAATCAATGAAATCAGTCGAGAAAAGCAATACGGAACAATGAATCTATACGACAGTCAATACGGTACAGAAACAGTAGGCAGTAGTACGATGTCCATGTTCATGCTATCAATACAGTATCTATATCTATCAATGTCCATATCAATGCTCAGTAGTATCAATGTTCAGTAGTCAATCGATGAAATCAGTGAAATCGTACGATACAGTAAACCCGATCAAATCCGTAAAATCCGTAAATCAATACATTAAACATGCAATCAATACGATAATACTGAACAATGTATAATCAATGGTCATGTTGCTGTTGTAGAATTCATATTGCTGTTGTAGATATCAATACATTGGTTCTATGAAAAGAGTCGTCACTCTATTGCCCGTCGGCCGCCCGTCGGCATATAATCTCCTTATGACTCCCATCGTTATATCCATGATCCATGATCTATGATTTAAAGGAAAGCCCGTCGGCCCACCATCCTGTACAGGTATCATCTCCAACCAATGTTCAACCAGGTTATACATGTTTCAGTATCAATAAGCAATCAATAATCAATATTAGAGCAATCATATCAATAATCATAGGCATATCGATTCAATCTATCAATTTCAGTCAAATCAGGAATCATACAAAAATCGGGCAGAGTAACAGTAGTCTATCGAATTTACACAAAAATCCTGCAAAAAGACAAATTCTGAATTTCTCCAAATTACAACAGAATAACCACGGCATCAATGCAAGACTATCAATCTATAGAATCCAAATCAAATCAAGTCCTGATAATTTTCTATTCAATTAAAATCGCGTAGAATCAATTCCGACCGATAAAATCATCGTAGAAAATAGTCAAATCGTGTACAATATTCATATCTATAACATACTAAAAGTTGTGCGGTGAAAGTCGTGTCAATACAAAATCAGGTCAAAAGTTCGACTACAAAAACACAAAACAGTGCACAACTCGATCAAAATACAAAATCTTCGAAAACAGAAATAGGGTTCGGAGTCCTTACAGCGAGACAAACAAATCTTCTAACAGCGTCGTCGGACGAAAAGCGCTCCACGGGCTCCAAAACCAAGCTTCCTCTTCTCTTTCCTTCTCTTTCTCTCTCCTGCCTTTTCTCTCTCTCCAAAATGAATCCAAAATATCTAAAATCCGATATTTATTAACACTGATCGTCCTGGACGATCCAAATTTCGTCCTGGTACGATGGGTTCTCTGGACAAATTTCGTACAGACGAAATCCAAATTCCCTAAAGTCTCCATTCCTCTCTCTCATTTGTTCGCCCCAGGAAGCCCTAGTTGAGCCTGACACCAACCAGAAAGTTGACCTCCTGCCCTTGCCGACCCTACCAACCAACCTTCTCTACTCATAATTTTGCTTCATCCCCATTCTCTTTTCCTTCTTCTTCTCTATTTCCTATTATTCTCCTCCATCTTTCTACACCTTCCCCTTCACTTTTATCATTCTCTTTCTCTCCTTCTTTCTTCTTTCTTCCCCTTCTTCTTTTTCCTCTTATTTTCTTCTTCTTCTTTCTCTTCTTCCTATTATTCTTCCATACTTCCCTCTTTTTCTGATTTCCTTCACCTTCTTCTTCTTTTTCTTGCCTTTCCTTAGTGAATAAAGTTGTTATATGTTTAGGTGATATATAATGTGCATTGTGGTATCTTTGAAGTTCCAATCATTTCTTTATAAGACTATTATAGATGCATATTTATTGTAGTTAACTTTGTTATAGAAGGAACTTGACTATTTATATTATTGTAGCATTTTTCTTTATCATGATGTTATGACTTTTATTTAATATCAATGATTATTGACCTCATTTCTATATGAGGTCATCAGGATCCATCCAGACTCCTATCTATTGATATGATGGTTAAAAATTATCCAGTTGCCAATCAATATGGACTTCAATCATCAAAACTTCAATCCAGACTTCAATCAAGCTTCAATCAGACTTCATTCAGTCTTCAATCAAACATAAATCAAACTTCAATCAATTTTAATTATCAAGTTGATATTAGTTTATGATCACTTAAAGCTACAACCCTACACTGTAGCCAGGTAACTCAGTACACTCCCCAACTCAATACACTGGCATCTAGTGATCACCACTTGATTTTCCTATTCAATCATTAAAACTCATCTAATTGATTATCATTTATGTGGGTAATTTATATTTTTGTTATAAAAAATGAGAATAATTTTATTTTGGTAAAACTTTTAGCTCGTAATTTTTTATATGTTATAGAGATTGATATTATAAATATTTTGAGTATATTATGAAATTTTTTTAAGGGATGATTTTGAAAAAAATTGTAATTTTTACCTAATCAAAAATTTATTTTGACATTTTAAATAGTGCCTCAATTCACTTAAAGCTTTAGAATGACATTTTATGCAATCTCTGATAATTTGATTATGTTTTAAAATTATGAATTTTTGCTCAGTAATATTTCTGTTGTCTACTATGAGGACATTTTAATAATTTTTTGAATTTTGTCCAATTTTGCTTTAATTAATGAAATACATTAAAAAAGTGAAAGCAATGTGATGTATTGTGATGTGATGTCGGGGCCAAATATGAAAGAAATATTATGGTTGACATAAGTGCTAATATTCATGAAATTTATCATAGATTTTTTCTGCCAAATATGAGAATTAGAAAAATAACGAGTTTATGAATATGTGGGGTTCATAGGACACATCACTTTATAGAAGTTCATGGCTTTATGATTTATTTTATTTTATTACAAGTAGAGGGAATGTCCATAGTCAAGGGATTCATCAACACATTTTTCACCTTCATTCATTAACGAAGGGTCATTTATTCCCTCCTCCTATATTTATACGCCAACACACACAAATATGCACGTAATGTTAGTAGAATTATCATCATAGCGCAAACACATCCCTCGCATATTTCTATGATTCACACAAGTGTTTACCTCTAAAATTTTATGGAGGGACTTAACCCATAATTAATATGTAATTGGGTCATTAAAGTAGGTAAGTACCAAAGGTTTTAGTTTACCCATTATAAATTTAATTGATATGAAGCTCAAATGACCAATCATGACCCTAGTTGGGGATATATGTAGCTTAATTAAGTCAATTATATGTCAATATATCTAGCATGTTCCAAATTAGCACAATTCCAAATTTATTAGAGCATTTTAAGCCCTATTGTCACTTCCATTAATCATGCTTATATGAGTCGCATATAATATTTCATGTCATAGGAAAGATATTCTAAGGTTGCCCAAATTTATTGGATGCCTCGCCTTTCTCAAGAGCTTGAAATGCCAATGTATGAACGGATGATACTCCAATTCTCATTATCTGCCTTTATCTTTGTCATTCATTTGCTTGATCCTCTCAATAGCTTGCTCAAATTCTTGCTCTCTATCTCTCACAAATCTTAGTTGGCATGCACCTCGCCGCCCGTTCTCTATCTCATAGTCGCTCTTTTCCCTGTTTTGTCTCTTATTCGACTACTTTTTGAATATAGAGTCATTCAAATAATCTTAGTAGTTCATTGTTTTATTTTTAAAACAAGCTATTATTGAGGTAGCAACTTAGAAATAAATATCATCATTACACGAAAAAAAGTATTACATTACCCTCATCCATATTATAAAGCATTTTATTGCAAATAAATAAAATTAAATTATTCTTAATTGAACAAATAATAATGAATAAATTGAAAAGTAGTTAGAAAAAGATAGGCTTGATATAGAAAAGAGTAATTATATGCATATTAGAAAAATATATTGATATTACATATGTTTCAAAAGTAAAATTTAATACATGAACAAATAATATGATTTGATATGCACAACTTCATTGTATTTTCATGCTATTTTTCTCAGATGTTCTCCCAAAACCCTCATGGCGCAGCTGAAGCCCGCTGCTTCACCCACCCGCTCTGTCACCTCTCTCATATCGTGTTTTTCCCGCGCCGAAAAAACCAAATTCCGGCCTCTGCGTGCGGCCGCAATTAACCCCTTAGCCTCCTCCTGCAACTCCCGCGTTCATTCCCTCCTCAGTGCTGGCGACCCCGCCACCGCCATATCGGCTTACAAGGACTTCATCATCACCGGAATCACCCCTCTCTACCCAACTCTTACCTCTCTCATTCATTGCTTCTCCCTCACAAAAAACCCTAAACTCTCTTTCTCCACCGCAGGTCTCATCCTCAAATCCGGCCATCCCGTTGATACCCTTCTTCTCAATCTCCTTATCAAAGCTCTGTGCCAAAGCCACCAGCTTGATGAAGCCATTGAGTTTTTTCGACAAGTTGCTCGGCGGTGGATCTTTCCTGATGTTATTACTTACAATACTCTCATCCATGGGTTAATGAAGGAGAAGAGGATGGAGAGGGCGATGGAACTGTGGGATGATATGGCTGAAGGAGACTTCCAGCCGAATTTGGTGAGTTATACTATTTTAATTGATGGTTTTTGTAAGAATGGTAGAGTGGATGAGGCCAGTGGGTTGTTGAATGAAATGAGAAATAAAGGCGTGGATGCAGATGTGGTGGTGTATAGCGCTCTAATTAGCGGTTTGTGTGATGCGGGTAGAGTCGATAGAGGATTGGAGCTCTTCAAAGAGATGAGTGAGAGGGGCATTTCACCAAATGTGGTTACTTTTAGTTGTTTGATTAATGCTCTGCAGAAGGCTGGGAGGTGGGCAGGAGTCAGGGAATTGCTGAATGACATGGTGGAGCAAGGTATAAAACCTGAGGTTTTTACATATACTGGATTAATTGATGGGCTTTGTAAGGTGGGGAAGGAAAAAGAAGCCATGAAGATGTTTGATCTAATGGTGGAGAAGGGGGTGGAGCCGAGCACAGTGACCTATAATGTATTGATTAATCATTTATGCAAAGAAGGAATGATTGATGATGCTCTTGCATTCATGGAGAATATGAGTGAAAGGGGTAATGTACCAGATGTTGTGACATATAACACTTTAATTCTAGGTCTTTGTGAGGCAAACAAGATGAGGGAGGCAATTAAAATGCTCGATGAAATGCTAGAGGGGAAGCATGGCGTTGAGCCCGATGTTTTGACTTTCAACACAATTATGCATTGGTTATGTAAGAGAGGAGGGGTTTCTCGGGCGTTGGAGCTTCAGAAGATGATGGTAGAAAGGGGGTATGATTGCAATTTGATGACTTATAATGTGTTGATTGGTGGACTCATCAAAATTCGTAAGTTTAATGCAGCAATGGAGCTAAAGAAGGAGATGGCTGGTAAGGGATTGAGGCCAAACTCCTTTACATATAGTATAATGATAAATGAGCTGAGCAAATTGGGAAAAGTTGATGATGCCGAGAGGCTTCTGAGGGAAATGGGAGACCATGGACTTTCACCTAGTTTGCTTGATTATAATACATTGATGGCGTCGATGTCCAAAGAAGGTATGAAGGAGAGAGTGATGAGATTATTCAGTGACATGAGTGAGAAATTAACACCTGATGTGGTATCTTTTAACACTTTGATTGATGCTGCTGGCAGACTTGGGGATTTTGAAACCGTGAAACTATTGCTTTCAGCTATGTTTCGGAGAGGTTTAAGCCCTGACCGCATTACGTATTCTACAATAATAAATAGATTTGTAAAGTCAGGAAAGCTGGAGGAAGCTAAGAAGCTATTTGAGGAAATGATTAGTAGTGGGCTGTCATCTGATGTTGTTGTATATCATGCTCTACTTAATGGTTTCAGAGAGAAGGGTGAAATGGGAGAAGTCATTAACTTACTCCATCAGATGGCGAGCAATGACATTTCTCTCGATGTAAAAATGGTTCAAACTTTACTGGATTGCTTGGGGTCTGGAATGGAAGATCATGAGCTTCTAAAAGAGTTGCATAAGTTCAGTAGAAGATCATCAAAGGCCCCATTTTCAGTTAACAAGCTGACTAAAATACTCCAGAAGTCATCTTCAAAGTTGCAGTTAAGTGCTGCTTGTTGATTGGTGATAGTTTTATTTAGAGTCTCTATTACCGGAACTCCTAAATATTTGGGCATGCTAGTTTTAGTGGAAGAGCTTCAGCAAATTTTCTACAAGTTGTAAACTCACAAGCACAATGAATTCTAGTTGGATTTGCTCTTTCTATGGCTATGTTTTCAATTCTGTCTTCACGTGTATGTGCCATACATTGTTTGGTATTTATTGGGGTACCATAGTATGTTATTTTGGTGGTCTAATATATGCAAGGCAGTTTTTTAGAAGATGTTTTTTGCAGTTTCTTAACGAGCTAATCTTCTTGCTAAGCTGGTTGGTAAAGTTCTTATTAACAATTCAAATGTCGGTTGTATCTTGATGAGCCTTTTGTGTGTCCTTCAATGTCATCTCCCAAGGAGTGTAATTGCAGTGGATAACAACTAAAAGCTAGTCAGAAAAGGTTGCAGATAGAGATGCGAAAAGCAAGTGTTTTCAAATTACATTGATGCTTCAGACTTTCCTCATTCCATTTCTGAAGTTCTTATATTGGTGGTACCGGCCGCTGAACCTTTGTTTTACTGAGCTATTCCTGCAAAAAAAAAAAGTTTTTTTTTTTTCATCAAACTCACTTGGCTTATTGCTGAAAGCTTTAAAATTGAGGTGGTAAGAAGATTGATTCATTATAATCTTGTAGAATGCATTAACAACCTCAGGATTCTTATCGTTGTTTTTGGGAGCTTAATGTTTGTCCTGAAGTTCAATGCTTTTTCTGAAAGTTCTTGAATGCCTGGCTTCCTTACTGCAGCATATTCCAACATCAAGAATTATCACTAGCTTGTTGCGGCATATCTGGAATGGAACCTTTACGACACCAAAAGGGGCTTAGTTTTTAGGGAATTACTCTTCCTTCTACCACATTATTAGGTCAACGCACTGCTTACTGAAGAAACAATTATGATTGTGTGTCAGCTCACTTGGGAACCTGATTTCTAAAGATGAATATTGATGGCTCAGCTAAGCTAAAATGGTTTCAGCTCTTTCCAAGCCTCTATTTAGTACATGTGAACATGCAAGTGTTTCTAGCAGCATGGGATGACCTTTCAAGAGAAAAAAAATTTTTGGTAGTTCAGGTAACTTGGGTGCAAGAAATTCTTCCTATGTGATGACCAAAAGGATCTTGCAAGATAATGCTGAATGTTACTTCCCCTGAAGAGATGCTTACTAGCTAGTTCTGGTATGTTTGTATTTGCTTCAAGTACAGTTCTTCAGCATCTTCATGCTGTGTTCGAGAAAGTCTTCAAGGAATCTGCACTTTTATTACTTGCAAATTTTCTTATCAAGGTTTTTCCCTTTTGTTGTGTGTGCAGTCATTGTTACAAACCATGAGTTTCCTGATAGGCCATTCTTATATGCATGCATTCCCTGTGCATGAACATTGTAATATTGCATCTGCTCTTTATCAGATTGATTTTAGTGTTATTGCTTATTTTATGATCTTATTATTTAAAAACTGCATTCACTGTTTCAACAATATTTTAAATCTTCCTTTTGTTGGTATCTTCTCTGGGGACACACATATATGAGCACCGGCTGTCTTTATGAGCTATTATGTCCATTCAGAATGTCTTAATGTGGTTTCTTCAATGAAACTGTTATGCCGGCCCTGGTCCAACCTGGACCGGTTTTATTTTACAGGAGGCGGATCCATAGGGGGGCGGAACTAGGAAAGAGAGAGAGAAGGGACGACTGGAGAGATGGGGCCCACAACTCAATTAAACATGGCTTTGGGATGGAAAATTTGAATTAAGGGTTGTTTAGGGAATTTGCTATGGTCTCTTTGTTTTAATTAGTTCTCTTGGGAGGATTAGGGTTATCATCTTGAATTTGAATCTGAATTTGGGATCTCATGTGTGGTGCTTGGGCTCTAAGCTTTGGCTAGAGAATTGGAGAGTTGGTTCTTCCTCTCGAATTGAAGATCCATGTATCTTGTGCTGTTTTTCTTCTTCTACTAGTGAATTTCAAGTGTTTTCTCTCAGATTTCCTATAATTTTTTTTGGGAAAAACTACTATTTACTGCAGATTTTTTTGCTTTTTTTTCCATTATTTTGAGCTTTTTTCTATTAGAAACCCAACTCCTTTTTTGAATCTTGCTAATTTCCTTCACTTCAATGCTCGATTAATGATAACCAGAAATTTGGCACTTGTCATGTTATTTTCTGGAATCAGATCAACGCTCATCCTCTTACTTCAGACCATCCATGGCATCTATATATTATATAATAGAGAATAGAGAAATGGGCTTTACGGGTTTTCAGTGGTAAATGTTGCCAATTATTCTTTTGTTTGGGTATGAAGGATCCCTTCCCCAACATCTTTTTACCCATCTGTACTATGGAGAGCCTGGTTTTATGTTACACTGAGCTAGGATTATAATGTCTCCATGGACACCTGTACACCGTATGATTAGGGTTGCGTTTTTCATGGATATGTATATATGACCTGCTTTTTGGCACTGCAGGTCTAGAGAAGTTGGAGGCTATGGAGAATCTATTTAAGGTACCAAAAACCAAGGGAAGCTCTCCCATTTGTTCGATAGGACCAGTTTGTGAGGACTCCAAATATGGCTCGATAGCCCTTAGCAAAGCTCATGGTGCAAATTCATGGAGCTTCAACTCACCTATTTTGTAGTTAACTTATCTTAGCTTATTATGAATGGAGCGTGATTTGGGTAACCAAGATATAATTGTTGCTTCTAAGTTTCCTGGAAGCATCTGAGACTATAGATCTTTTTTTTTCAAGAAGAATTCAGCGTGGGTACTTAGAATCTTATCAAATAAATTTTGCAAGTGTTGCAGAGACGAGGATGCTCAGGTATATGAGTGGCTTTGCTCTTGGAGATATGATACGAAATAAGCTGCAAAAAGATCAGAGTAGCTCCTGTGGAAGATAAGATTAGATAGAGTTGCCTTATATGGTTTGGTCACATAAAACGACTGCCTTCTGATGACCCTATTAGAAAAGTAGATGTATTAGATTTAGCTTATGTTAAGAAAGGTGGAGGTAGACTTAAAAAGACTTGGTTTAAAAATATTAGAAATGATCTTTCGTTATTAAATTTAAATGAGAAATAGACTCTTAACATAACACAATGCAGAAAAAAGATTTATATAGTTGACCTTATGCAGTTGGATAAAGATTTGGTATTGTTGTTGTTGTAAGAGTAGAGCATGATTCGTGCAAATAAAATAAATGCTAAACCCATTTTAGACGCCCAACAAAAAGCAAGGCCAACTCCTATTGTTAGTTTATCTCTAAGGATTCATTTTAGATATCATTTTTATTGTTTTATAAAGCAGTTTTTTCGGTATAATTTTCTTTTGAAATTTAAAATTTTGAGCCTGAAAGTTGTTTTAGATAATAATAAGAAAGCTGTCTAAAACGAAGTCTAAGCGTGGTGTGGGAGAACGAAGCCTATAACTAATCCCAACACACTTATGGTTTGTGCCTCACAAACCATAAGTTGACCACCCTATGAATTTAGCATAATCTGAGTAATCAAAGCTTATTTGAACAACGTTTATTCCCATAATGAAAAATATATATCTTATTAACCCTTCTCCATATCACACGAACTTAATATGAATTAAGAATCACTTGCAAGAAGTATCTCCTCATCACTCAGTGGATTCTAAGGCCTCGTTTGTAGCGGCTTATTTTTTGTGTTTTTAAGCTGTTGTTTGAATGTAAAACTATTTTTCACGGAACTGTATTTTTGCATTATTTTTAGAAGCTTTTAATATTGACTTTTCCGTTATAAAACTTCATTCTCTCAATCAAAATTTTGAAAACTATCTTCTTCTAAAAAGGCACCGGTAACCAAATGAAGCCTAAACTCTCCCTACCTTTCACTTAAAGCTTCATTTGGGACAATTACCCCATGGCGTTGCAAACTCTTGCATATCTTATCAATAAATTATTTTTTAATCTCTTATCAAAATAATATTTAAATTATGAATAATTAATCAAAATTTATATTTATACTTTAAAAAATTAGTGATAATAAAAAATATTATCTCCAACTAATGAGTCATAGATCTTTTTATAGATAAATAGAATAAAAAATCTCACCAAATGCCCGAAATAACCCGGAGCGTGTTCTCAGGTCGACCACGAAACCTTCGTCTTCTTCAAATGGCAAGACAAAAAAATTGTCGTTGTTTTTTTAGCTCCTTCCATCCGGACTCCCGAACAAGACAGGCTGCCCAAATTCTGAAATCTCGCTCAATTCATAATAAAAAGCCCGAACAAAACATTCTGCTCCCGATCGATTCAGGTTTCATCCTTTCGGCATTTTCCGCGTAACCTCCTAGCTGAAATCGAATTTCGTACCTCTTGCTCCTTCGTTGTTCTTCGACTTCGCTCCTTCAACGACGTTCCCTTTCTGTCACGAAAATTTAGGGTTTATCGGAATCAACGACGGTAGATAGCTCGCTCTGCAAGGTAACTTTCTTCCTTTCTTCTTCTGCTCATTCCGCCTTGAGATTTACGGGCACAAATCTCGTTTGCCAAGATTTTGCAAAATTCGGCATTTTCCTCTCTGTCACGGCTGTTGTGTCGTGGAAAGTCCACGGGCCATGTCTCAGAAATGTGAATACAGTAATGTATTTTAATCTTTGCGGATTCGCTTGAGGCTGAGACACGCTTGTGGAACCTATGACAGCTTGAAACTGAATATTACCTGGCCGCATCTTCACAGTAATTCATAGCCTCATGGAAGGTTAACAGAACGTGGCTTACATTACAGCAGCTCCTTTTTTTCCAGGTATATAATGTTAGCTTTCTAAAACAATTTTTGAATACAAATATTTAGGCTTAATCAAAATCATTCTTCTGCTCATTTCGCTTAAGAAAATGAAAATAAGAAATTTCATATTAGTTACATTTTTCATGTAATAGTTTTACTTGATATTTCAGAATCAATACTTCGTACTCCCGCTTGGCTGCTCGTTCACAAGAGGCGTTCTTCTTTGTATTTCAAGTGGTTCAACTTATTTCTTCCGATCATCAGCAACGTCAAGCTTCTTCCATTGTTTCAGGTGATTCGCTTACCCTATTTTATTCGATTGCTTATTCTATATGAAGTGGTTCAACTGAAACTTTTTTTCTTCCCTTACAAAAAATTACAACTGTTACTAATTATTAGGCACAATTTGATACAATATATATGATTTATAAATAATAAATATTAACCTATAATTAGAAGTTTTGCAAATCAATAAAATTCTTTTGTTCGTATAAATAATACAACTATCTTAAATTTTTTTTTAAACATGTAGATGGGAACTCAAAAAGAAGGATGTGCACCTGCATCATGGGACTTAGATATGACTTTAACATATTGTGATATATGTATAAGAGAAATTGAACTGGGAAATAGACCAACCACGCATTTTACTAAAGAAGGTTGGAAAAATCTAAAGTTTGTGTTTAGCTTTGTTCATTAATTTAGAAAGTTGAATATCAATGTAAAATTTAAGCTCCTTTTATTTATGTTTGGATGGGTATATATATAA